CAACACAATTTGAAAGCTGTCCTTTTACTTGTCAACTAGCAAACTGTACAGTTATGTTCCTGTTCTCAAACATTATTACTTGAAGCACAAGAGCAGGCACATGACTGTACGCTGACCTTCATCTGTTCCCAAATTATGTCTTTTAAAAGCCTTGAATCTGTTTAAGGAGAGTTGCTGAAACCTGAAACGAACTAGGCCTATTGCTTTATAAAGTAGATGAATGTAAAACTTAAGTATTATATTTCAAGCTCTTACTGTACTAAATATAGCAAAATTAGAATAAGGGAGAATATAACTGGAGCGTGAGTCTTGTTTTAGAGGACAATCTTTTGTTACAGGCATGGATTATTAGCTTGTAATACCTGGTATGTTTCTACTTCTGGTGGAAAATCACTACAAATTTGTAAAAGAAAAATGTTCTCCTGGTCAGGTTTTTTATTTTTAATAACAGTGATCTTTAAAAAAAACCAACCAAACAAAAACACATCCACACAACAACCAAGATCTCTACTTAGTTCTGACAGGACCAAATATAAGCCGCGTCTTGAAATATATTGCATTTAAGTTTTCATCTCTTGCACTCCAGTTTATTTTTGTGAGCATATGTTTAGTAATAAGCAAACAAATGGCTGAGTATTCAGAGGAAAAGTAAACTCATTTACAAACAAAAGCACTACATAAAGTAACTGCAGAAAGCATCTTTTGCTGTGTGTTACTACCAAAAACAGCAGGCACAGAATTATACACTTAGGAGAAACACCTCAATAAACTTTTTAAATAACTACAATTGAAATGGGATAATACAGGATTATTACTTTTCTTCTTTCATTTTTAGTAATCTTCAGTGTGATTTCTAAAGATGTAATAAATGAGCTCCGACAGCATTCACCTGTATGTTCTTCAAAGCAACATTAACTTGAATGCAACCCTGCAGGACCAGAACAATAGGAAATGTACTATTTTCAGATAGGTAAGTGGCCTGCAAGTTGACAGATTTCTTGAAAAGTTCATAGGTTTTTGACAATTGTCTGATAGGAACTGTAAGATTCATTAGGTGTATTTAATCTGCTGATAAAACAGAAACACTCAGGTTGGAAGGGTCTTCTGGAAATCATGTGATCCAGCCTCCTGCTCAAGGCAGGGCAAACTTCAAAGTTTTATCTGGTTTCTCAGGACCTTCTCCAGTCAAGTTTTGACTTTCCCCAAGGATGTTGTTCCTCAGCCTCTTCGGGCAAACTGCTCCAGGGCTTAACTACTCTCTGTGGGTATGTCTTCTTGTGCTGGAGAGACAGCCTTCTTTCTATCACAGTGTAAACCCAAATATGGTAGGAAATGCTGCTTTTTCTGTCTGTACTGATACTCAGCTGATTTTTGGCGACAGAGGTTTTGTAGGTCTGCCTTTGTAACAGTTTATTGTGTGAGCTGGTAATGATTTTGAAAAAAAAAAAAATAATAATAATAATAATTTTTCAACATGGAGAGATTGAGAGTAAGTAATTATTTGTTCAGCATAAATTACAAACTAAATAAAGCAGAGGTGATTCCAGGACTGTTATCCTAGTTCTGAATGCTCTTGAGCTTAAGAAAACTCAGGACTTGCACGCTGAAGCTTACTTTGCTTAACCCTTCATCTGCTCAGTAGGTCTGCATCAGTAACTAAGAAAAGAAAGTCTCATATAATTTGTGCTACTTCACCTGTGTCAGCGTTATGTCAGCGTTTGATTGGTTAAAACGTTCTGTGTTGAGTCCTACTGCAATACACTGTCGTATTTTAAAAGAAGGCGACTCACACCTAAGGTGACTACTGCAGTCTTTATGTTTTTGTCTTTGTACAATTTAATCAGCTGTTGATCTGAACAGTTGAAAAGGATAAATTTACACAAAAATAATTTGATCTCTCCTCTGAATATTCTCCTGTGTCAAGTCTATATTCTGATAAAAATCTCCTGAATTTTGGCTTATGCTGACTTCATTCTGAATGAGAAGAAACACAGATGCCCCAAAGGAACCAAGCATACAAGTTCTAAGTTTATACTTTACTTCACTGCTATATAGCAATGAAGTCTGCTTTAAGCACGTGCTTACCTGTGCCACTGAAAGAGAACGTCACATTAAGACAGGCAATAGGCTCAGTGTCTGTTGTTATATAAAGACTCGCACAATGATGTTTTTGTATTAAATATCATTAAACTCATTATACATACAAGCCACATGTAAATATATAATACATACATACATGTACTTTACAGATCTGGCATGCCAATGTACATGTTCAATTTAAGTAAGCAGCCTGAGCTGAAAAAATTCTAGGCATTTTGCAGCTCTACAGCATTTTCAGAAATAAAATACATTTTGAATACTTCCGAAAAAGGGGTCTTCATTATGGAACACATCTACCTGAAGATGATAGTTATTTCCTAACTTTATGCACTAGGAAATCCTGACTAACAGGACATGTATACCAGAAGCCCCTACTCTTCACGAGTATTATTTTATGCTTCATTAAGGGTAACAAACCTCTAAGGGCCCTCTAACTGTGAAGTCCTCTTTACTGTTCAGCAGCTGGACCACTGGCTTAAATAATGTGGTATGTGATCCTATATGAACACATTATAACATGTTTACTTTAATATCTTACTGTCTTTTAAACATTACAGCTCTGAAAAAGGAAAAAAACTACATGCCACTGTGTGCAAAATTATGATTTTGGTTTAAGTGTATAAGAACTACTTAGAATACTGAAAAGAAAAAAACTACTATTTCAATTATAATCTTTGTGTATGTGTTTGTTTAATGTTCTGGAACATATGTGAACAGTTTTCAAAATATTAATGGTGAAATTAGTTTTTTATAGAATAAAATACAATAACTATAGCACAAATAGAAAATTTAGACCAGAATGAAGCACAATTATTTGGTGGCACACAACCAGAGGTCATCAGACAATTACACAGAGGCAACAGCTCACCAGGAAAAGCTTAGCCATGTAACTAGCCTCACAACTGTCCTACTAAAACACAAATGTGGGGCTTTAATGCATTATAAAGATTTTGAACCTGACTAGTCTATATGGCAATAATTGGCTTCACATTTACAAATAGAATTTATGCAAAAATATGTTTTTTCTACACAGAAGGCTCAAGTTATTCCTTCGGTTTCAGAAGTTGCAATGAATTTACTTGTGAAAGAGCGTTGTACATTCTACAGTTCAACAGTAGTCACTAGTAAGTTAGGATGGCAGCTGTTGTACATCTGAAGCTAACAAATGTTATGTGACCAGAGATGACTGGCACGACATGTGGCTGTAGTCTTTTTATACAGTTATGTTCTCAACTATTTTAAAAATGTCCACCAAAGTCCTTCAGAAATACTGTTCCCAAGAAGTTCATGGAAAACTGATCCTTTAATATTTACCCTACTCAGCTGCATATGCTAACAATGATAACCCGAAGTTTAAACAAAAATAAAATAATTTATTATTTCGGAAGTCACGTTCTTCTCTGCACTATGACTTGAGGCTGGATTCACTTCCTTGAAAATACAGGGCGTGTACTGCATTTCCAACAATCAATTATCATTTCAGCCTTTTTATCTCTGATCATAAATCTAGGCACATGCCCATACGGATAGACAAAGTGCAAAGACAAAACTGTCTTCAAGGCAAATTTCAAAAGCAAGTGTGAACTTCCACATTAAAATATCACTCCTTTCTTGGTCCTTATTCTCAAATATTACAAGCATCTTCAATCAGTCTAATATTTTCCTAGTCTCCTTGGAACTTTTACCTTCATAATCTTTATATTGATAAAAAAAAGTCGCCATCACTTCATGTTAATCTCAGGTACCTACACATGAGAACATTCACTATAAGGATTTAAAGGGTTCTGACAGAGAAAAAATTCCAAAGTGCAATTGATTTTACCAACTTATTTCACACACAAGAATACCTCTCTAAACACAACTGCGGTTAGAAGTCATAACTTTTTGCCATTAGTACGTTGCTTCATTGTTTTACATTTAATAGACTTAGAAAAGCTTCCCTAGGAGAAAAAGTTGTTACCTTTGCTTTTATCTTTATTTTTCAGTTAACTAAATTTTCAGTGACTAGATTAAGACTTAACGTATTCAAAACAGACAATTAGTATTTAATAAATCTGAGACTAGGTCTATTTCACATATTCCCTATTTGTTATTATTTTGTATCAACTGATCTTTGAAGTCAGGAGTTACTGCTTTTCTTCCCTGATAAGATAAATACAACTTGAAAGATCGAGTAAAGTCACCAGCCATCCATTTCTTCCTGTGTGCTTAGGAGAAGGTTTTAGTGTACAGAACAAACGGCAGAAAAGTGCTCAAACATTTTCAAAGTTACTTGAATTAGGGTTTGCCTGAAACACCATCAATATATAGCAGTGATGGGAGCAAAAAAGTTAGTGTAACACTAGGATTTGCTCAAACCTAAAACAAGAGTTTTTACCTTATTCCAAATAATTGCATGTGACAAAATCAAACAGGATGGCCAAAACTGCTTGTTAGCAGTCTTTACATTAGGACGTTATCTGCCACAGTACATTCAGTTGAGAGAAGTACGGTCACATACTTAAGTCTAGACCATTTAACAGCATAAATAAGTCTCAGTATGTGGGGGTCAGCGTCCTTCTCTCGGGTATTCACAGCCAAAGAAGAAAATTCCATATAATCCAAACTTTTAGTTCCACCTTCTATATAACCATGAAAATGTGCTAAAATTCTAGTATCTCAGAAGGCAGACAAAAATGACAAAAATACTCAAACAAACCATGAACAGATATTAAAATTTCTCCTAATTCTATCCAAAATAGTTGAGTTGCATTTTCAAGCATTACACAAGAAGTGAGACTTTAAGAGTAGCTTGGAGGACAGGGAAGAGGCTCAGCACAGTAGGATTTGGCCTATTAAAGAGAACAGGAAATGAAATACAACACAGAGGCAAAAGAAAATAACGTGATTCCATCTGTTACCTGTCATGCGTCCTCATAAAGTCCCAGAGCTTCTTAGTGCATTCTGGGGAGAGGAAAAAAAAAAAAATGCATCAATGGAATTAACTCCAAGTGAAAACTGACTGAAATGAAATTAAATTAACATTTTAACAAGAATTTCTTGCAAAACTTGGTATAGCTGGTTTTATTTATGAGATCATTATCCTGGATTTTGATGATAAGTATTATAGAAGTTGAGAGGAGATCATGAGGAGACATGAGGAGATCAAAAGCTTAGATCCACAACATCACACTGACAGCTAGAGCAAGACTCACGTAGACTTTGGAGCCAATTCTCGCCACAGCAACAACTTCAAAACCCTCATCTAATCATTCAGGTGCTAGGAAGCTATAGGTAAGTTTTCACCAGTAAAATAATACAAGGATGCAAATTCTTCCGTGGTGCCTGCCCAGGAATGTTGTCATCACAGCAAGACAGAACAGCTCAGCATTTACCTCCTATCCAAACCCATTCGGGATCCAGGAACAAGACATCCTTCCCTCTAACCCCCTAAAAGACCCAAAATTGCAGTTTTGTCCATGATACGTCTAACACAAAGTGACAGCATTCCATTCAAAGTAAGACAGCCTCCCCAGCTGCTTTTCGGGAGGCGGTTCACAACCCTGCTTGTGGTGGTGGTTTCTATTTTTTATACACTAGCCTTAATTTACAGCACTCACCCAAGAACTAGGAGACATAAAATGAATTACTTTCTCAAGTCTGAGAGGGTTCAAGCCCACCTAATAGATGCATTTCACGATTTAGGCTCCAGTCTCCAGCACCACGGCAAAAACCCCCCAGCAAGTAATCTCCTGTTGGTTTTGAGCTCTCAAAAAACAGGTAGGCATAGAATTGCTGAACATGTTTGCAATAGATTTATGTCTCTGTTTGGATATCTTATAGACAGCGATTCCCAGTAGCTGCTGTGCTACTGTTCACGCTGCTACTCATAAGTCATCTTGGACCAATTTCTGTCCTTTGCTACCTTAAAAAGAATTAAACTTACTGTAGCACAGTTGAAACTGATCCATGAAAACACATGCTTTTTCCACAACTATGAAGACTGTGCACATATTTGCTTACAGGTATATTCTATGTTCTACAATCATATATGTGAACACATACATAGCAGTTAACAGAGATACGTATATAATGCTGTATCATACTTTTTTGAACTGTGTCAATATTTTTCAGCTGAAGTACGACTCAGAGATTTTTCTCCAAGGTCAGTTTGAAGTCTATATAAGAAATCAGCGTTCAGTCAAAGGAAACTCTTTTTGTTGCTACTTTTCTCTTATTTGTAAGGCAAAAATAGACCTGCTGAAGACCTAGATATCTAAAATATGCCTAACGTGAAGAGCAGTAGCAGCTATCTATCTATTATAAAATGTCCTTACATGGATGATCAAACCCTGAGCAACTGGTTAATGAGCAGGTAAATGTGAGCAATGAAAGAAGAATTGAGTTCAGTTGGTGGGTAAAGGTGCCAACCAATATAGACAAGCCCCTTCAGCTCTATTACAGATGTCATGGCTACCAAGTACACAACAGCTGGTGGGGATTAGATAACAAGCACTCTGGTTCAGAGATTAAGCTCCTGAGCTTTATGAGTTTACCAAGCTTTTTGGAAGAGTGACTGTTTGCTTGCTAGCTGGGTTTTCCTTCATTCCCACAGCTCTAATTATAAACAGTTGTTCACCTCAAGAGAAACTCTAGTCTACTCTTCCATCAGTGTCTGCACATAACTTCTGTTAGCACTGACAGGAATCACATGCGTGGATCAGAAGGAGAAGCCATGTCATTGTTTAAAGGCAACATTATGTTGAAAGAGAAATAAAGACAGCAAATTCTCAGTGTGAACTGAAATATTAAAGCCCTTGTTCATCAAGCTGAGTGTATATCCAATCTGTTCCACCTGGTGAGAGATACAGAAACAGCTTTGAAAGTACTGGGACACTGCATATACTTGCAACACTTGAACTTAATAGTATAGACCAATGTTGTGTAACCAGATAAATTTAAGGCACTAACTGTACAAGGTCCTCTCAATCCTTTTGTAGGTTTATTTCTACCTAAAAGGCATCTATTTGTGGGATTTTCTCTTGTTTGCAGATTTCTGTGCAATTTGTTATTTGACATGAGTGGTTTGGGAAACTCTGGACTAGAGATAATGTCTTTTATATGTACCACCATATTAGTTCTCCAGCTTCAACCTTCCCCTGCCCCAAATGGTGTAAGACAGGCTCCCATCCTTTTCCCTTTTGCAGTGTCAACTGCAAAGCTGCATGGAGAAGACAGAAAAAAGGCCCGAATTAATGCTATCCCAGGATTAATTTAAGCAATTAATCCTGTGATACTGCTTCCTATGGTATGATCCTGGTAATAATCCTCCTGGCCCTTTCTTCCCGACATCATTCTGCAAATTATAGAACCGGACTGCCATGAAGCACTTACGAAAAAATTTCAAATAGCCAAGGAAAATTATACCCTGGAGAACAAACTTCATCCAGATGGGATCCATCAGATCTGAATGCCCTCTTCTCATGGATGAACCCCATTAACATTAACCGACTCTACCTCACAGACATGCACACGGTCTTTAACAGAAAATAAAGGAAGAAATAAGTTTCTGCATTAAAAAAAGAAATTAACTGGGAAATAATACTGTATTTTCTAAGAGGCTGGAGAGCACATAAAGCACTTTCTCTAGAACACAGTTTTATTTTTGATTAAAGACCCCGATTCAAAACCAGCCACAGGCTAAATTAATTTGAATCTATCCATTCATGATGTTGGTTATCATCATACGCTCTGACTGGAAAACGGTGTTAAGCTATTTTCTGGCAATATTTGAATAAAAATTCATTTCATATGATCAGCTTGCACCTGTCCAAATAAATAAATCAATAAACAAATGAAACATTCCAACATCTCATTGTTTACAGTGGCAGAAACTCAAATGAGCACCATTCATGCCCTATTGTCCAAGTCAAATGTAATTTGAACCCAACCGTATGGAGTTGAGTTTCTATTGTACCCAATGCGTGGTTCTTTCCTAATAGACTAGTATGAAGGTTGCTAATTATTAATAGCATGTAAACAGTTGCCAATGGTTCTTATGCTGCTTTACATACTTTACAGAACATTAATTCTGACCAGTTTCCAACCAACTATGTCAAGCTGTACGTAATATCTCTATATTCTCTATAAGATTAAAAAAAATTGCAGAAACTGATCAAGATTCATGCTTTTAAAAGCCAAGCAGCCATGACTACTTGTTAAATTAAACTGTTCCCTTCCATATATCCTGGCTTTTGCTTTGATAATGCTCTGCTATCATCACAACTACAGATAGTTGCAAAGAATTAAAAGGTAGAAATGATCAAAGTTGCTCCCAAAAACCAGAAGAATCTTTGTGAAATAAAAACCATCTCAAGCCCTTAACCTCCTTCACTTTGATTATTTATAAACTTGTTTATTTATAAACTAGTCCATTTTCCAACGTCTAAGGAATGATCAAAGTATCTTTCAATGAAGTGAGAGAAGTAACAGTAATAGATTGCTGTGAGGTCTGAACATTCATGATAGCAAGAAGAAAGGAGTGTATTATTACATTTGAAACAGATTTAAACAATTATCCTTCACATAGGAAACGCTTCCTGTGATGTTTTACAAAGATAAATATGTCAACAGTATTTTATATTAGTTTTTGTCTGTTTAAACTGGCAGTCCTGGTACACCAACAACACTGTGTATCATAATTTTGATTTGGTAAATCTTTAATCACAAAGTAATCACACTTCAGTTCTGTGCTCAGTGATCAGGTTCTGTCATGTTGCAATGCTGAATTAGTGCATATAGTATATGTAAATTAATAAAGCTGTATTCCAGGAGAGCCAGCATGTGAGACAACTCGGTTTCATATTACACAGAAGACAGATTACTTATATAAGCACAAATTGCATAAGAAAGCCACACCAGGTCAGATGAAATATCCATCTTGCCCAATATCACGTCTCTAATGGTGGATGCATAAAGGGAATTTTAAGACTAGAGGAAGCATACAGCAATGCTTCCCCAGAATGCTCTTCCAGCCTTTGAGAAAAAGCAGTTGAAGGACATCAAAAGACAAGGTAGCTTCCAAATTAAACTCAGTCCTTTCTTTCCCTCCCTTGGAAAAGCAAGGGCAAAAGACCATTTCTACACTCTCTGAATGTGCCGCATTAGTATGTCACAAATCCTGCTCATCTGGTCTACAAGACTGACTTAATTCTGGCACTGACCATTTCTGACTTTGTCGAAACTACAACAGTATGCTACATGCTTCAGAGTCTACACAAGAACTTGATCCTTTTCAGTTCAAATGATTACAGGACAACTGTCCGCTGCAAAGAGCCTTCTGCTAAGCCAGTGTTTGCCAGTGGATGCAACTTCAGCAGGTGTGACTCCTACAAGCAGAGAGCTCTTTATGATGCAATCCATATCCGATCTCCACATTCTCAGTCCTCCCTCCATCCTTGAAATCATCTTCTCGTACTCTCCCTGCACCGGCACATTGCCACAGCCACAGGCAGGACCCTGTTCATACCATTTATTATAGGCAAATTGGACTCCTCCGCAGACGGTAATCAGAATACTTCCCAGTTCTTGCTCCAAACTACACTCTTTCTGTCTCTTGCTAAAAAGGTTGAAGACTCACTCCACTTGGAATATAGCTATCCTCTCCTTTCCTCCACCAGCTTAGGCAATATAGTGTCTAAACAATGTGGCCAAACAGCTGTCAGAATACCTAAGCAAAGGTTAACCATTTTTAGTAGGACCATTTCAGAGATGGCAGTCAGCATCTACAGATTATTCCCAGATGGCTGCCCTTACTGGAGAAAGTCAAGAGGACTTAGCTCAGTCTAGCGAATAAAGAAGGTAAACAGGGCTGGCTATACTAATACAGTGAATGTTTTGTTAAACAACAAACAAGCTATGACTCCATGGCCTTAACACTCTTGTTAGTCTCCATGGCTGTTCCCTTTGCT